ATGACAAGAGGACCAGTCGTACCATTTCTCCCAAATAGAGTCCGGACACCATCTTTTCAAACGTTTGCTTTCCTCTATTCATTGATTTCGAGTCAATTTCTGAATCCCATTCCGTTTTGATAAAATCAATCACTTTGTTGTCCCCAAAGGCTCCCCATTCGGTGTTAATGAGGACCTGTTTGGGTTCACTATAATTTGAGGGCCACTTCTCTATGTTTTCCAATTTCTCGATATAACAGGCATTAGTTCCCGTCCCCACTATTAGCCCGATATCGCAGTTGGGATTCTTGTGCGCGCACGACATCAGAGTTCCTGTCGTGTCATTGATTAGAGCGACGATATCGACGAAAGCACTGGTGGCCTGCGATCTCTTTTTCAGTGCTTTCTTCAACAGTTTGACGACATCCCGGCCCACCACATGTCCACAGTTGAACCCTTTGGTCCACGTGACCAGTTTGGCCTGACATAAGCCGTACTGAACGCATGGGAAGCTAAATGTGAATCCGAGGGCTAAACGCATTTGATCCAAATGTCGTTTTTTGGTAAATTGTATTATACAGTCAGCGATGAAGTCAAACAATAGTTCCCCTTCAGATACCATCAACTCCTCAGGAATCTTAAAGATCTCGTTCTCCATTTTGGTCTCATTTGTGTTGAAATCAATGAGAATCACTCGGAAGTTAGTTCCGCCCAAATCCAGCGCCAAATATCTGCCCTTTTCATCGTTGTTGGGAAGATTGCGGACATAAGTGATGAACATTTTAATAGCGGCCGACTCTTCATCTTTGAGTCCTCTCTGGAATTCTATTTCCAATAAATTCATTATCTTTTTGAGAGTTTGGTCGTCGAGTACTAAGCAATTGGTTAACTTCTTAGCCCTTTCTATTAAACTTGTGTTCACTGTTTTGGACATGATTTTATTTTGCAAACAACTCTCAGGAATTTATAAGTTTAAATATTAACTACAATACAGTGTTTGAACGAGAGTTTGCTATCTTAATAAAGCAATTAATAATTGAGTGATAATTTAAGATATTGTAGATATACAAGAATAGCTTTAAGAAAACAAATTGAGAGAAATGTGATATTAGTGAACAACAAATAACTAAAACTTTGTCCCAAAGAGAATTCAAATCGTAGAATATGTGTTGAAATTTAAACAATTTAAAATTTTGATAATATTTAATCGCGATATATTGACTATTGAATTGTTTATTTGTAAGCTATAAATTATTTCTAAAAATACTTCTATTAGAAATCTATTGTTATAATCAAGACAGAGAGATATCCTTTAAACAAATCATCTCATCTCTAATTTTTGCTAAACACTATTAAAAGTAGTCAAAACCTAATCAATTTATAAAGTCTTCTTTTATAATTTTGACTTAATTTTTTAGTCTTTTTCATTAATTATAATAATATGAATTATTTTATTACTCGTACATTTAGTCTAAATCATATAGCCATAAGAAGTATTTCCTTAATTGAGTTTTTGTTCAAAGTTTTACAAATTATCTGAAATATTTCATATTAGCGACCAATCTTATTATATATTTGTATCAAATATTGAATTCGCATCAAGTGATTTGAATAGCCATATACCGAATCGGTATTACCGATACTGTATTATAGTTACAATCGTTAAACTCTAACATATCTATAAGAATTCCTAAAATACTTTTGTATAAAATCTACTTAAATTTTTAATAAACTCTCAATTTTGTAAACAAAAGTTTGTCAAATAAGTAAGTAAAGCATGATACTATGATAGTATTTAAATATTTAATGGCTAAAGACTGGATCCAAAGGTGGTAAAAACAACCTTGATAGTCACTAAAAAAAAGTTAATGAAAAAGTGTCAAAAAGTTATTTATACTTAAAAAGTTGTTTTATTTTTTCCGCAAGTCATACAAATTTTTAGTTTTTTGAGTTATAATAAACAATAAGATATTTAGAGATTCTGTTCATTCATATTCAGTCGCCTATCGCTTAAAATTGATTTATAAGCCCAAAAAGTACATTCAATATCACAAGTACTTAAAACTGGTAAACTCTTGAGGACTTAAATCTATTTCAAACTGTTTTGTTAATTTTAATGATCAGAGTAAATATCATAAATTGAAAAATGATCACTTTTTAAAAGTTAATAAAAGTTAATACAAGAATTTAAAATTGAATCAAACTATCAGAAAATCTTTATGCATTTGACTCATAATTATTAAAAGACAATGAATTTATTGGTCATTGAAGTGGACATCCGGACCGTTTAGTTCTCTAATGCATTCAACACAACCATCAATTCATCTTTCATTTGAAAACACTTTTTGCAATCCTTTTCTTCACTCCATATCACATAAATCCGTAAATATTGTTACTATTTTGTTAATTTAAAATTGTATAGTTTGTTATTCAAATAAAATTCTTTAATGTTTATTTAAAATAAATTTTGTTTTCATTGAATATTGATATTTTCTTTAAAATAATAAACTTCATGGACTTTATTTCTACTAAACAAACATTTCTATATACAGTATTGTTAATATTCAGTTAAATTATTATAAATGGTATCGTAGATATAATTACAAAATACTATAAAAAACTATTTAAAGCATAACTTATAATTAGATAATGTTAATGTTAAATATTGACAAATAGAATAATATAACAGAATCTCCCAATAAATAAATAGAGAACTGAATACATTAGAAAAACCAAACAAAAAATCTTATAATTTGATTTTAAAATCTCTAAAAATACATTCATACTGTACTGCAGTAAAGTGAATCAATGGTATGAACTATAATTATAAACTGTAATGCAATCATCATTTAATGAATTCATTCATTTGTCGGGTAATTAATAGTAACATAAGTAAAACAATATGTAAAAGTTCGCATAATTTACATTTTATTATGTTTTCATGTTTTACATATAGTTTTAGAGTTTTTTGCAAAACATACTAATATTTAATATATTATATAATAATATTGAATACTCTGTAGAAAAGTTTAAATGAAACCAAAACTGGGTTATGGGTTATGCAAACAAATACAGCACAGAATATATCGCTCAACAACTCAATGGTGAGCCCCTTATGTGCGGCCGTTGGCGGGGGTGACGGTGTTGGGCGACCGCTCGCCCTTCCACTCCAGAAATAGGAAAGCAGTTCCGGCGCCGTATGCGATGAAGTTTAGTAAACC